GTAGACCTGCATACATTTACTGTATGCAGGTCTCCTTTAATGTCCCGTGTTGCAGCTAATGTGTTCACACCGCTCTTCTCCTTCGTCTTGTGTCAGGCTCCGTGGTTTTTGGGATCCATTTCCTTCCAGCTCTTTTGACTTTTTGATCCACGCATTGCAGAGTTGTGAGCACTACATGTGATACCATTAGCTGTTAGCACCTCTGCAGCTCTACTGTAATCACCTGGAAATGTGCACTTCATAATGTGTGATTGATCTGGGGGGAGTCTGAGCACTGTCTGTGTGAGTGTGTGAGAGTCTCTAACAGTGACGTGTGAAATGTGTCACTCCCTTTACACTGCTCGCTCCGTCCATACGTCCATCTCTCTCTGTTTGAGCCCCCTGCTCTCCACAGATTGACCTCTTCCTAATAACCCTTTTTCTGTTTAGGAACTAATTCAGGGCATTTACAGGTTTGCTAATAACACAACAAAAGCAAACACTGGTTATTGATTCACTTCAACAAGTTGTTTTGGGGAAATTAAGGTTTCTCAGTGTAACATTACACAACAGTCGTTATCACTAACTACTGTTGCACTGATGCTATCAATAAAAGCACTTCAATATAGTAATAGGCCTAGTTAAATAAAGGAAATCAAGGAAATACTAAATCATAATAAATACACACATCCAAGGCATTATTGCACGGATAATTACAACGCATGCGTTTCACTCAAAGTCCCCAAGTAAAAAATGTGAGTATTGCTGATTGCAATGAATCCTTTTTAAACAAAGTAAGAGGAAGTTTAGGAAAGATAGGTGATGTGTTTTCTTTTAGCTTTGTTACTGTGAGACCAACCAGTGCCATAATGGAAAATGTTTGACATTGCTATAACCTTTGTAACAACTGGTTTTTTTTTTTAAAGCCACAAAGACCACCGGCTGAAATGCATGCAAAATAACTAGCGGACAGCTCGAATGTCATAGTTTCTGGATAATCCTTGCATAAATTGTAAATTTGCAAATTAAATTCATGATTTTGTGGAGCTATCAAGTTACTATATGCAAACTGCAACATACCTTCTAGACAGTTATTAACTAAAAGGTTTTAAAACAGGTGAGCCCAAAAGTAGATGCTTCAATCAAAGTGTTACCAAACAATGTAAGCTGCTTCATTGTCATTTATATTTAGTTAATTACAAGCAGATATTCTACTCTGTTGGTATTTATTTGGCACAGTTAGTGTTCTGCTTTGTCATTTCTGAAACAAACCTTTTAGGAATGTCTCTCTCTCTCACACATACCTGCTTACTATTGCTCTATTTACACTCACAAACACACACACGCACACACATACAGTCACAGATTTAGGGCCTCATTATGCAGGAATGTGTAGTATTTCTATAGATTGTGTGTGATTGTGGATGCTGAGATGCTGCACTGCAGCAAAGTAAAGATAGCGCTCTTTAGAACCTCCCTGACAATTTCCTTTTGGCTAATGACGCTCAAGTCTTATCAATACTCAGCAGCTCCCCCCTCTGCCCTTCCTCACACGATCGACCCTGCAAACTCACACACACACCACGGCCTTATCTTGATTAGATATTTCTGTCTCTCGGTAGCTGGAGGAGGAGAAGCCCACACCTTGCTGCTAACCACTGCTGTATGTTTAGGGTGGGAGAATTAGAGGTTTGAGTGCAGGATATGGCAGCCCATAAGGTCTAAGTGCAGGATATAACAGCCTGTGTGTGTTTAGGAGAGGGAGAGGGACGGAAAACAGTAAAAAAACAAATGTGTGCATCTTCTCACCTGAGTGGTTAATGTTTGCAGGACACCTCTCACTGTTACATAATGTCTGCATGTCTTTATGTGCAGCTAACAAGATAAAACACTGGTTTTGAGGTTGTGTAAAGAGAAGTAACTGGAGATTTTCTTGTTTGTGGTTTTAGTCCAGGTGATGCGGTTCAACAGGGAGCGAGCTGCACCAGACGTGAGCCAAGAAGAGCATTCACACAACTACAGTGTGTCCAGCCTAACCACGGAGACCGGCTTCAGGTACACACACACACACACACACACACACACACACACACACACAACACACACACACACACACACACACACACACACACACACACTACACACACACACACCACACACACACACACACACCACACACACACACACACACACACACACACACACAATGTCCCTTTTAAAGACATGCACCATGTTATTCTAAAGTGCTGAAAAGATTACGTCACTCATCAAAAACTCTGCAAACGAAATGTTTCTACTCTAAATAAAGTGCCCGTTCACATTCATGGTGATAAAATAACATATTCCCCAGTTAAACAGTGTGGTTCAATAGTTAATAGTATTTGGAGATGAATGGTGTTGTATGGTACACAGGAATATACTGTCAGGCTTTGGTAATACCAAGTATACTTAGTCACTCAAAGGGTTTTTCGCATTTTTCTTGCCACTTTTGTAGCCTCCTCTTATGTGTACCTACGATATGGCCCCTGGTCACTACGTTTTTATAAAGGATAACGCTATAAAAATCCAGAACAAAGCATATAGAAAAAACAGGCAGAGGGCCTTGTCTCTGTAGATACAGATCAAATCAAGTTTTATTTATATAGCACATTTTTAAAACGATTTTTGGTCCAGCCAAAGTGCTGTACATATAATAATTACCTTACAGTAAGGACGCTTTTACAGCAAACACAACAGCACAGTTTGTTCAGTATATCAGTATGAGAAAACGACACCCTCTGTCCTAGATACGTATATCATTTGTTTGATAGGAAATCATTGTGCTTTTGAGCTCATTTATGAATGGTTTGTGAACAATAATAAGATCTAGACTAGAGTATCCCCCGCTTTATCCATAAGCAAATTGAAGCTAGCGAGGTTGCAGATTACAAAAAGGCTTTTTCTTGTTTTTATTTGTGTCACAGAGAGGGCTCCAGTCTGGAGGAGGTGGTGGAGAAGCAGGCCGACCTGATAGAGTACCTGAAACAACACAACATCTTACTGAGCAAGAGGCTGCTAAACCTCACGGCTCAGCACTGACCACCATCCCTCCTCCTCCTCCTCCTCCTCCTCCCTGTGAACCCGATCATTTTAACACTCCACTCTCCAAACACAAAGGAGAGAGGGATCTGTGGGTCTCAAAGAGATGAAGAGAAGCTAGAAGAAACACTGGATAAGAGACTAAAAGTAAGGAAATCCCTGTGCACACAAGCACCTGTGCGCACAGTCTTAAGACGGCAGGGCTCCTCCAAGAGGCACCTGAGATGGACAGATAACGCAGGAGCAGGCGAGCTGTAAGTGGAGGACAGTTAGGCCAAGTGGGAGGAGGAGGAGGAGAGGAGTCATGGGTCACAGATCAGAGGTGAGGGGTTTTTATCGCTGTGTTACGACCCCCGGTGACCCACGTATGCTGCCGCTTGTGTTACTGTGAGAGAAACGGAAGAGGCTAAACTGTTTTAGAGATCACCTGCACTGAGGAGAAGCAGAGAGGGTGGGAGGAACAGGAGGAGACAAGAAGCCGTCACTTAACAGGGTCAACAAAAAATAAAAAGAGAGATTGTGTAACGCTGTAAATGTCAGTAAGTGCTATTTTAACTGTCTGGATGTGTCAATGCTTTATTTGGTTGCAGTTTTTTCTATCTCCTCAATCATTGAGTTTGTGTCGTTGTGATCACATATGAATAAATATGTAAAATACACATTATACTTTATTTTATTTATGTTTAAACCTTTTCAGGAGTGACTGTTGACACAGCAGTGAAAACACAAGTAAGTGCGGCAGGGTTTTGTTTATGTTTGTATAATGAACAGTTAAAGAAAGGGCTCAAACAATAGAGACACTAAAGCGTCAACATTAGCTGGTGGGAATGTGTTATCCCGCCTCGGCTCTTCTGTGTTGAGTTTCAACAGTCACGGGAATCTACGTTAACGAAATATTGAGGTCGTCATTTGAGCTATTGGTGTTTGCGCCCCATTGTTATTTATTTATGCTGTGGCGTCCGTAACTCCACAGGGAGCACTGCATTTACGACTCCTTTCTCATGTGACTTCTCCTGGGAGCCCGGAGTCATCTGCAGTACCACAGGTATCAGCAGCCATGTTTGATCTCAGGCTTTCACGCTACACATTTAAAAATTAACTAAAGGTCCTTTATTAAAGGTAGTCTAAATGTAATCGGTCTGCTATACATCCTAGATTTTACAATAATCGTCAATCACTTTGTTATTTAAACATAGGCTGAAACTTACAAATATTGTCGTTATCAATGAATCTGCATTTTTTTCTTCTAGATGAATTGATTAATTCTGTCAATTGAATGACAGAAAAGAGTGAAAAACCTCAATCGGGGTGCATCAAGGTCTAAGGAAATGCCATTTAATGTCCTGTTTGGTCATTTTATAACCCAAAGATATTCACTTTGATGTGATATAGATAGAAAATGTATACATCTCTTTATGTTAGAGGCTAAAAATTGGATAATATTATTGTTGTATAAATTCGTACTATTAATAGATTAAACAGTTGATTAGTTGACTTATCATTGCAACTGCTTTTTTAACACAGAAACACAAATGGAAACAAAATGTTACATTGATACCATTTTTATTAAAAAGTTAAACACATAATTCAATAAACATTTGAAGTGCATACATGCATTATAAACACATTGCTGTTCATCGTAGCTGCAGTCACTAAGATGTTTCCAGCTCTTTGGTCCGTAGCTTTTTGTATATATTTGATGTTGTTGCAGCTCCTTTTCCATAATCTTGTTCCATACAAAAGTATTGGCTTTTGACGAAGAAAAAGAAAGCAGCTTGGGATCCGTATCCACCAGGATGCCCAAACATTGCATGGTTTATAGTGAGTGGAATGAGGACAGTTCATATACACATGACAGTCTTCGGATCTCCTCCACTTTACAATCTTGTTACTGGGACCCATCTATGGTGTTTGGGCCACACACTGCAGATACTTCTCTCTTTCTGTCCTTAGGTCCCCCTCATTTTTTAGCTTTAACCTGTAATAGAAAAAAGGAATTTAGTGTCATACTATAAAATAGTTCAGAGTGAGACAAAAGCAAGTACAAGAGTGCAAAAATTAAACCTAAAACCCCCACCTTCCCCAGCCCCAACTCTCCTAATGGCACTTATGCATTCCCCTTCATCGTTAGTGAGATTTATGTCGGAGCCTTTCTCCCCCTGCACTCCTGTTCTGCGTGACTACACACCTCTGCCACTAATCACACACACCTTCTTAAATGCCACCTGCCGGGTCTGTAACCCTGTTTTGGTCCCTGCATCACACAGCCCGGCTCATAACCTTTTTACACAGAAACACATGAATGGGTGCACATGTCTTACCTTAGGGAAAGGGTACTCTGGAGTGGAGAGGCATGCAGCGTCTGTGTGGGCAGTAGTGGTGTCTGTGGTATCTCCTCCTAAGTTTTAGGAAATCTAAAAAAAAGAGAGACGATTAAGTTAATATGCAGAACAAAAAGCTACTTGAATAGACATATATTCACCAGAAAAAGATGTATGACCATCACGAAACTTAAAACAGCTACTTAGTAACTCAACACAACAAACAGATTAAATGTGGAAGCAGGAAGAAGTAGCCCATAAACTTGTCTGATCTCATGGGCTAATCGTCTTATAATTCACCCGTGCATGTACCCGCTAAATACTTTTTTCAAGTGTCGAAACTGCTGGCATGATTTAACTGTTTGAATAATGGAATTGTAGGTGTAAAAGTCCCTAATAAGCTACATTTATGTCTGCTGGGGGACCTCTGCATATCACCTGACAAGCCTAATTAATCCCATATTGAGTAGGGTAACGCCTGAGATTTATAGGACCAGAAATAATAAAATATCACCTCATACATTCACCATTTTCACAGTAAGTATAACTTTGAAACTAATAAAGCCTGTCTTAGTCTCTGTTGACCATTGATAAGCCCTTTTTATTAGTTTTTTTTACTATTTGGGCCCATTTACCAACAGCAGGGCACCCCCTTTTAATAAACTGGGACACACAGACCTAACACATGATTATTTTTAAACGTCCCTATAATAAATCCACTTTGACTCCTGTGGTTCATAGACTGCTGGCCAAGCCCAGGAAGAGATAAAGTGCCAGATGACTTTATGACTCCCTCTCTTCCTCCCCCCTCTCTCCTCCCCTCTGAATGAAACTGCTCCCCACGCCTGAAGGTAGGCTTCTTTACACTTGGCACTGCTACTCCATGTCATGTTAATAAAGCTCGGGTATTTGCATGGCGTTTTAACACCGTGATTAACAAAAGCGCACCGGAGTCCCTTCCAGCCGGGGACAAAGAGACTCTCTGGGGTCGCTGACTGTGCGATCCCCGGCGGCGCTCTGCTCCCGTCCCTCCCTCCCTCTTCCTCCTTCTTCATCCTCTCCATCATCACATGAACCTAATCACGACCTCAAGCCCCGAAGCCTCTGTTTAACAACCGCTGTGTATGTCTCCACCGCAGATAACAGCATTATGCGCACCTGTTACGCCAGGCATGAGCAGCATGGTGTCTACTTTTCCAGTAATATGAAAAAAAACTAACATTTACATAGCAATTTTAACTTGTGAAAATAATATTAAAGTAATCCAAAAGTGAGTGTTGCATTCAAGGCTTGTTTGCAAAACGTGAAATACTGTAAAGGCAAATAACCCCCTTTCTGTTCATGTCGTTACCCGAGACATATGATCCAATGTAAATAGGTGTTTTGTGTATGGCTTTTTAGCGAAGTTATATTTTCAGTTCTTTTGTCGTCATTTTGCTGGGAGACCCACGGTAACGGTTTTTCCCGGTCTTGTTTTCATTTTTACGTACTGAACGCAACTCGTAAACGCGGCACATAGCAAGTGGTGATTACATTAGCAAGCAACGTCCCGCCATGATGATTAATTGACGGTGCGTTTTTTGATTCTCTTGGTATAATATCACACTTGTATCGTTAGAGAGATATTTATTTATTTTAAGTTGTACTTTGTTCAATGTACAATGATTAGGTTCTGGAGTTTCCCCCTTGGAAAGTTAAGATAGTTAATGTTACCCATTTTAAGATGAAAAGTAGTAGGCTACTGTTGCTATGATTACTTCTGTACCGTAGATTGCGGAGTGATTTAGAAAGCTGTTATAACGGTTGAGCTACATTAACGTTCCAACTTGCAATATAGGCCTACTGATTTGAGAGCATCCTCACCGGGCTAAAACGATAACAATTCTGAAGTATGTTTTCAAAATTGACCCCTTCGCCGGTTTTAACGAAAACTTGCTGAAATAGTTGGGATATCTTGACCGGGTAAAGATTAGCGATGCTTACCTGGTCTGGCGGAGGAGACTGATGTTAGAAGGGCAACGAGCAGCAGCAGCAGGTAGAGCAGGTTGAAGACCCTCATGGCTGGACAGAAGCTCCTGAAGAGGTCAGTGAATGACAATTTTCCAAAAGTCTAGAGAGTCCCTGTGGCTGATGATGCTCAGTGTGGTTCTCCTTTTTCTCCTGCTCTGTTTCAGTCCAGATTTAGAAGGCCAACCACGGGAGGATCCAGTACTTTCCAGAAGCACCTCTTCTCTCAAGATAACAAGTAGGTCCCAGAGGAATGTGTGTGTCCGAGTGTTTGTGTGTCCAGTGAGAGTGGGATTGTCTCCAAAGTCTGAGAGCAAAGTGACAAAGGTGCCTATTCCCTCCACCTCCTTTATATGGCTTTTAGAGGGAGGGGGCAGTATTTGGGAGGGGGGTGTAGCTCCCACAGCCGCCCCCACCTCAACCCCTGACACACACACACACTTAAGCATTGCACATATTGACCCCACATGTAGAGGGTAATTCAAACGACAGGAAGGCCCCCCTTACCCTCCAACTGCCCCTTGAACACACTTTCTTGCATGCAAGTTTAATGCAAGGTTGTGTGTGTGCAACAAGCAATGTTGATCTATCACTTCGAAAATTAGAGCAAAGATTTAAGAATTTGTGGATGGAAGTCAGTGGCCGGATGTAGCTAAGTTCATTTGCCAAAGTACTGTATTTAAGTAGAAATGTAATGTAATTGTACTTTATTTTCGTTTTTATATTTATATTTTTTCGTTTGCATATTTAATGCAACTTTATACTGTTGTTAAACTGCATCTCACAGGCCAATATTAGCTTACACATAGCTTGAGTTACTTTGCAGACTATATTTTTCCTCACTTTCCTGTTCAGTGCCTCCAGATGTGTTGGATTTGAATGTTTCTTAACTTCTTAACTGACGGATGAAATGACCCTTTATGAGTTGAGACCATTTCCTTACGTCTTAAGCAAAAACAGAAATTAAAATGTTAAGGATCATGGCAGTTTTTCTGATCTCATGAACTTTTATAGATATATGATTCTCACAGGACAGTAGCGTTTCAAATATTCGGTGATCTTAAAGAATATCATGCATAGCTGTAGATAAAACTAACCAATAACACATAAATGAGTTAAATATGAGTACTACTTAAACATCTACAGCAATGAAATGTAAAACATATTAAAACCGCATTCATACTAATACAAAAACATAATATTTGATAGTAAAACATTGAAAGTGAGCATTTTAGACCTTTATTTTAAGTATTTTGTTTGGAAGTACTTATTTCAGTACAAGATCTGAATACTTCTTCCACCATGTTGAAAGTAGCAGGTTCTTAAAGACGGGAGAGACAGATCCCTCCTCTTCAGTTGTCCCCTACCCCCGCACCGGGGAGGACACACACATCTGGAGCTTTTGGGTGGTGGTGGTGGAGGGGTGTGTTTGCACCGAGCATTTGGGGGCCGGGGTCGTGATTGAATGAAATGCAGTGATGCACTGGACTAACGATGCTCAAAGAAGTCTGACTGTCTGTCTGGGAAGCCGTCTGTCTCTGCCGCTCTGCATGACTCTGTGTGTGGGGAAGGTGTGTTTGTAGATGTCTACTGGAAAGATTCCCTGATTTGAAAATGTAGTGACGTTATTTAATTTCTCCCATTTTTGAAAACTGTTAAGTGCTGAAAGAGCAGGGGATTAAAACCTTTTTGTGATGATTGAGTAAAGTATTGAAAACTGGCATCAAATGTCTTGTTTATTACTTTTAAAATATTATTTTATCACAAATGTCCCGATTTAAACCAAGATTTTGACAATGTTAGGCTTTTTTTGGAGGCACAATTAGTGTACAGCTGCTTGTGTTTGGACAACATTTCATTATCTTTGTTTGATTTTCTAAATAGTGGCTTTGTAGAAAAGTTGTTTATTCAAGTCTGACTCTAGTTCTGAAATATTGAAACAAATATTGAAATAATTCCCAGCGCTGCCCCTCATGTCATGCAGGTTTCCAGTTGGGGTAAACCAGGGGGTTTTCTTGCGGCAGGTAAACCAGGTCACTTGGCGCGAGCTCTGCGTAACTACTGTAAAGTGTTGGGACTCATTAGCGTGTCTGCTTACAGCCGTCTCTGTGGACTGAGACTCTCCATTCAGCACACAGCTAATGAATTAACACATTAAGATGAAATGTCAGCCATTACATGTGAATGAGGATTAGAGAAGCAGCAGGACACTAATGGACCAGGGGCTCAAAACAATCTCAGAGACTTTGAACAAGCATCTGCACCATCAGCTCTCTTTAGTCTTCAAAAATAGAGAAAAGGAGTCTCTCCGCTTTTTGTTTTTTGTTTTTGTGGTGTGTGTACGTGTAAGTGTCATGTCTCCAGAAATGTTGCCTTTATTGCTTTATGGTGTTTACAAAAATGTTGCTGGAAATAACAGAGATTCCTCATGGATGTGGCTAATGTACAAACACACACACACTGGTGTACACACACATTCATCCTGCTGCAAACATTCAGCCAAGGTATGTAGTACGCTTCTGTGGCAAGCTGCACTTTGCATATCAGCTGCCATTGTCTTTTAAAACAGTTTTTTCCCTATTTGAATATGCTAATGTCGTCTCAATTGTCATTCAGAGCCACCTGGTATCCACTGCATCCAACTGCTGCCAGTTTCAGTTTGAATCGGCTTCTCTCTCTGCCCCGCAAAACAAAAACAAGTGAATCATACCAAATTCTCCCCACCAGGTTTTCTGTCTGACTGGGTAGAGCGTGTTGTAATATTTGCTCTTCCTGGGGATTATACGTCTTTACAGGGATTACCCAGCCTGCTCAAACACTCCCCTACGTGAGACACACACACACACACACACACACACACACACACACACACACACACACACACACACACACACACACACACACACACACACACACACACACACACACACACACACACACACTCACACGCAGAGGGCAACCTCCTATTGCTGCTTCAGTAACTTAGCAGGGCTTCCTTGCGTAAATGAACCTTGCTCCACTGTTCTGTGATAATGAGCGTTTTCCACCAGATTTGTTAAACCTGTAAAAGGATTATAACAATGTCAGTCAGAATGTTCTAGAATCAAAGGTGATGTCCTCCAATTACTTGTTTTTTGCTTTAAACAGTCTTCAAATTGACAGGCGATCAACACTTTTTAAAAAATAATAATTTAAATACTTTATTGAGGAAGAATTCCTTAAACTAACTGGATTCACGAATGTAAAACATTTGAAAATGGCTTTTTTTCTCTGTTTTGTATCATTGTTTATTTAATAGACTGGAGTTTTTAGCCGTTGGACAAACGAATTGAGCACATTTATAACACTCAGGTTCTTTTAAACCATTTTTCAGACACTTTATAAACTGACTTATTGAACTACAATTGAAGACATAAATCTTCAAATTCGAGATAATTAGACTGATCGTTTTATGCAATCTAGTGTCAGGTGTTGTATTAGCATTACTATCAAAAACGTTTATATCACTTTAAGCCCTAGTATTGATCGGACTACTCACAATGAGCTCTCATCTCAATATCTCTTACTTTAATATAGTTGAACCCAACAGGCACAGTTCACATGATGACTGCTGAGTGAATATCTGTAATCAGAATATTAGACGTCAAAGCTCTGCTGAATCGACTGCTTCTATGGAGACACTTGAAAATGTCATTATTTTGTATCATTCAGTTAAATGTGAGGGTACGAGTGAAATAGTGTGCAATATCCCATTAGTTATTTCCTGTTTGGTCACTGTCCTGTGTAATTCAGGAAGGAGTTGGACTGCTGTTATTGCTTCTGCTATATGAGTGAGGGTCTTCCTAGTAGCTGTGATCTTTACGACCACAGAGGAAGCTTCAGCCTCTCCTCCCCTCCTCCATTTTCACTTTATTCTTCCTCTCCCATCATCTCCTGAACAGGACACAGATAAAGAACTTCCTCTTTGATAAAACTTGTGCCTCATAAAAAGACTTTCCTTTTCCACTGAGCAGAACTAACATTGTACACAGTTGCACTTGTACACAATACTTAATTACATACAGAGGTCAGAATTAAAGGAAGACTGGTGGTCAAGTAATTGTGTGTGAGCTTGTTGGTGTGTGGTTGCATGAATGCATGGTTGAATGCAATGCAAATCAATCCGAAATGATATGTATATTTTCAACATAAAGTCACCCAAATGTCTCCTTAGAGTCCTGGACAGACACAACAAGTTGTTTAATTGGCCCTGGGAAATTATGATGGGAAATGTTTGGATTATTCGCTACCTTTTTACTGTCACACATGAATCAATTAATCGATAAAATATTTGTTTGCTGTAGTATAACATTTTGCATCCCATTGTTGAAGATGTTATCAATGTAGCCAATATCCATGTCTTACACATCTGATTTTTCACTTGTTGGAATCAATCTTAAACTCCAATGTTTGATGGCCCGTTAGACTTTATGTAGTGATGCAAAACCAATTGAAAAAATCAGAGAGCTAGAAAAACAAATTGTGTGTTGACCGTATGCACTTCCTCACGTGGATACAGAGGAGAGACTGTAGGTGGAAGAATGAGCAGCAGAACTGTTGTATGCCGCGATGTCTGTATTTGTTGGGGTGTATACGAGAGATGATTGTGATCTGATGGGTCAGTTCGTTGTCCATCGTTAGAGTGATAGTTTCTCTGTTGTCATGCCATACAGGTCGTCAGTGATAATGAGGGCCGCAGCCAGCCAGAGCTTAATTACTCTTAAGACCCTTTATCTCAGATTGCCCAATACAAACCTCAGTAGATACACATATGCACATGAACAGCAGTGAACACCCAATCCACACACTAATAGTATGGACCATCAGGCTCTCACAAATAGGGCGGGCGTTTTTCTTTTCTTCTTCTAGTGCACGCAGTGGAGAAATACATAGGATCTCACGACGGTTGATTAACTTCGCCTTTATTCTGGAGCTCCTCCTCCCCTCCGCGTCGGCAACAAGACGGCTGACTGCGGAGGAGTGACGGAGGGCTCAGGGGTCAAGGGGCAAACTCAACAGGGAGCAGCCTTTAACCCCCCAGGATGTCACCCCAACAGGGCTCGAGGGGCCAAAAGTCACTTGGTTTGTTAAATCCTAACCCAGACACAGCGGCTTCTCTGGACACACACCCTGGGTCTATGCAGCGGCTTGGTGCTTTGTGGTTTTCTGACCATCAGTTGATACAAATACACAAAGGACATAGAGAAAAGTATCACACATTTCTTTCTGATTGAACTTTTGTCAGCGTGCTTTTCAGTGGAATGTCATGTTTTGCTTTGCCCACAAAATAGCATTTGTATGTGAGAATATTTCACAGCAATCCAGCTACACAAGATTGTAAATACAACTAATAACTTGAACTAGTAGTGGGTGCCTTTTCTATCATGGGAATCGAAATGACATTTTGTTCTTAATAAAACATTGACCATTAAATAACTAACATTTGCACCAAGATACAGGACCTACAAATTGTGACTGAAGACAAAATGTAGTTTTCGCTCACCCGAAGTGTGTGTGTGTGTGTGTGTGTGTGTGTGTGTGTGTGTGTGTGTGTGTGTGTGTGTGTGTGTGTGTGTGTGTGTGTGTGTGTGTGTGTGTGTGTGTGTGTGTGTGTGTGTGTGTGTGTGTGTGTGTGTGTGTGTGTGTGTGTGTGTGTGCCGCAGCTGCAGCAGGTGTGTATGACTGGGGGCAAATAGATTGGTACATATGTAAATACTAAAGACACATTTGCAGATTTAGAAATTTACAATTGAACAAACTCAAGAGGGACAAACATTGGATTCAAGCATTTGCCACACAGTACATTTGAATTGAAATTGTCACAAGTGTCAGTTTTAATAACCCAACTTTGTATAAGACTCACTCAGAGACTTCATCATTATAAACACGTTTATTGTTACCATATTTTTGGAAAAATCACAGCTACCTTTCAATACAATAACATTCTTTAATCTGATGTTTCCAGTTCATTTTGAGTCATTCATGAGAACTTTCCCTGCAGCACAGCAGATCCAGACAGAGATCTCTGAGTGTGACTTTATGGTTTCTTTCCAGCTTGTTTGTTGATCACTCTCTGCTTTTTGTTTAATGGCCGTGACTTCTTTGCTTCCGTGCCACAGTTTTCTGAAAGAGACCAGACATATTGTTCATTACGCAGCATGAGAAAAGCGGACGTTTGTCTGGGTGTGTCTGACAGCAGATCAGTGTTTACCTGGATGTTTTGCTTCTGGTTTGATGCAGATTGAAGCCAAGCTGAAGAGGGAGACGATGAAGAAGGCGAAGATGATGAAGGTCAGCTCAAAACCGTCGAACGGCAGTGCCATCTACACAACTAGCAAACACAAAGCACGTCATTACATTATGTAACATCTCCACACTACGAGGCCTGACACAGAAACTAACACATCATATTCTGTGATTCTTATTATGTTGACTTTGTTTATGCAAAAATAGTCTAAAAGAGATAAAGGAGGGATACTTCTTAATCTTTTTGTATTTAAAAAGTAGCAGTTTACATAGTGGCATACATTCCTTTACATTCTGTAAGTCGGTCATGAATCAACCCATGGACAGATCTATTTTAATAGGTTTCTATTGGTTATCTGTCCTTCAGAAATTAAATAGTTGTCTTGCTCATTCCATACCGCAAACATGTGCATATGAAGTTTTTCCAATATGCATTAATTAAAAGTCTTACATATAATCCAGGCATGATATGTTTGCATTTAGCAACATTTAGGATAAAGTTACTTAAATATGTATAATGTAATGTAAATATTGCTCAATGAATGATCTAGGGCTCGGAGATGATTTCATATGATCATTTATTGTCTTCCAATTAAATAATAGGAAATCGTACAGCAAGATATCTTGATAAACAATTACATTTACTTGATTAAACTAATAATAAGCAAAAACTGATGTGAAATCGAATTAAAATATGCAGTTTTGTTTATACATCACAATTGACTTTATCACTCAGGTTCATGTGGTTAACAAACTGGAATCTAACTTCAACCTGTAGTTGTTTTGTTTCCAAATATGAAACTATATATAACGTGAATGATGGTTTTGTCTTTGCACGTGCAACCAAACCAGTTTTATCCTTGCACATGTCAACCAAGAATGTGCTGCTGGGAATGTGTTACTAAACGACTTTCTCCACTTAACAAATCTGAGAGGTGAGCAACGCACAGAAAGATTGCTACTGGCTCAAACACATGTCGGCTACACTGTGGATACAATTAGGACTTTACTTGTATGGAACTCATATTAAACTACAGCTTATTCTGTCAACAAACTAAACGAAAATAACTCAAATAAATTCATTTGTCTGCACATATGCCAATGTTTTGCATTGCATACATAAAAATAAGTATTTTCATAGCATTACTGTTTACACACATCTTGAGGTGCAGTAGCATGTAGCTTCCACCAGAGGGCATCACATCCTTGCTTTTTGTCAGTCATTTGTTTTTTGTAATTAATCATGCTTTCCAGTCTACATATCGTGCTGGGTTGTATCAGTTTACCGTATTTGAACTCATAATTAGTCTCTGTTTACATTAAGGATAATTACTTCAGTTCTTGATAACACTTTGTGGCTTATTTGATTACAGAATCTTCTTCTCATTCAGCCTGAAACCTTGGAACAATCTATACTTCACTTAATCTAAGCAGTATCAGATACTGTGTTTAAGAATCACAACCCTAAGAGATGCCCTACCTACAGTATCATCGTATGAGTGACCGGTTGGAGGCATAAATAAAACATTTGGGGTTGAAATCAAAGAAAAAAGTTGAGTGACAGAAGTTTGTTGAAATGTTCAGGTTAAGTTTACTTCACACATTTCTTTAAATTCAGTGTATTTTGGGATCACACTTTTTTTTTTAACCTGACCATATTGAACTACCTGAGCAGGTATCATTAACGTCACACCATGCAGTTATATCATCACTGCCAGGCTGAATGATTCATATTGGCCTGTGGTTCACACATTTGTCTTGCTACTGTACATCTGCTCATGCTGCGTAAGCTCCACCGATTGATCCTTGATGTCTGAAATCCACCTAAACCCTTCCAGCACACGTTTTTTGTCTGAACAACAAGATTAAACAAGAAAAATAGGGTTTAGAGACTTACCTGTAGGAAGAATCTCAGCAGGTATTTCCAGATCTGAACTTCAAAATAAAATCGCTTCTTTGTGTCCTCACATCACCGCGATCTCAAAGAGCAAGGAAAGCAGCCGTAGACGACCGTCATTGAACAGTTTGCAGGAACAGGCGTTTGTTTATTTTACTTTTTTACAGTGTAACATCTAGGCCACTCCTTTCTTTGTGCCTCATCCTGGAAACAAGTCATACTGGATCCTGTAACAAGGTCCACAGACATACACACACACACTTACACATGTACACACATTCACTGGTTACCATTTAGACTTTGTTCTGAGAACTGATAACACACACTCACTCACTCCCTCTCACACATTGCTTCGACTGATATGTCCTCATAAAACACTCAACAAGTAAAAAGACACCGCTGCTGCCCTCTGAAGTTTTTCATTCTCAGTCTTGAAACTCGAATCAGACGATCTGCTCCTCACTCTGTGCTCGTACAGTCATCTCTAATGGAGAAAATAATAAAAGGAGTCACTCAAAGAATAGAAATATTTGATTAAATCATTATATAATGTATTCATAAAATATGTAAAGATATATCATAAACAAGTATTAATGTTGTGTGTGAATATCTCCAGTAAAAGTGGGTGTACATTTGAGTTAAGATCATTTTAAAGATGTTTTAATACATTACATTCATTGTTTTTTCCAATTCAAAGGAATTGGAAATCAAGCTCACTGATGTTAGGAAAAGAGAGAAACAAACAGTTATATGAAAAGGAAATAAATTAGACTTTAAAGGAAACCTTTGAATATAATTAAGGATGGGAACTTATAAAGCATTGAATGGTTTAGGCCCAAAATACATTTCTGACCTCCTGAATTATGAACCATCCAGATCTCTCAGGTCTTCAGGGACTGGTCAGCTTTCTGTCCCCAGAGTCAGAACTAAACATGGTAAAGCAGCGTTCATTTATTATGCTCCAAATATCTGGAACAAACTCCCAGAAACCTGCAGGTCCGCTGCAACTCTTACTACTTTTAAATCCAGGCTGAAGACTTATCTTTTTGCCGCTGCTTTTAATTGAACTATTCATATCTTAAACTGCACTGTAACTTTTATTATCTTTGCTTTTTAATGCCATTTTCTTAATGTCTTTCATTTTTGTAAAGCACTTTGAATTGCCTTGTGTTGAGTCCCCCCCAAAGGTAGTCCCCTCGTAGGTGGTTAAAGTCCCCTACAGTACGTGTGCCGTTTTGGTTTCAAGACCCTGGTTCGCGGAGGATACCAAAAAAGTTCTAGAAAAGACAACTTAAACTTAACTAATGTGCATTTAAAGAAAAGAGGAATAGTTTTGGTGAAAACTAAAAAGGTACCATGGGGTACAGGAATCCGTTTTGGTTGCAAGACCCTGGTTCACGGAGGATACCAAAAAGGTCCTAGAAAGACAAGGTAAACTTAACTATGTGCATTTAAAAATAAAAAAGAGGAATAGTTTTGGCGAAAAAAAGGTACCATGGGGTCAGATTATAATTTTCCAAAGGGGGGTTCGTTTAGCATGAAACACTTGAAATAAGTTAAACAAGAAAGTAGAAAGAAAGGGAGGTGATAGAAAACTATTTCTGCTAAAAAGTTATCAATGATTGAGAGTCAGAGCTAAACATTTCAGATGTGTGTATCTCACACTGCACTGTAACTTTAATTCATGTATCTGCTTTTAAATGAGTGTTTTTAGATATCATTTTATAATATGTTTCTTAATGCTATTAATGTATTTCACTTTTGTAAAGCACTGTGTTCAAATGTGCTATATAAATAAACTTGCCTTGCCTTGCCTATAATAAATGTAATATCATGATGGTCTGATAAACAAATTTCAGTTTCAGGGAAAGTTGAAAGAGCACTCTTGTGTTCTGTTTCAAAAAGAGGGCTCAAGTCGACATTTAAAACCAAT